TATAGAAAATTTTCCCCAAGGTCGGGACAGCCGTCCGACCCCCTTTTTTTTTGGCCTTTGGCTTCTATGGGCTTCTTTTGATTTATGTTTTTTCTTTTTACACAACATTGGCGAAATACAGTTTTATTATGATGAGGTAAAACCTTATTCTGTGTTTCTAGTCAATCAGTTTGATTATTTTGGCAATGGCGCGTTTTGTGTATTTTGACGCACTTTTGAAAACGTTTGCTTAAACATGGTTATTATGAGGTTTAGACATGAATAGCAAAAAGAGAAGGAGATAGTAAGAATTGTATTCTTATTAATTAAGAGGGGGAATATGTGCCCTTAAGATGCCCGGGGGTCAGGCTAGCCCTTGGGAATAATCTCTAACAATCATTAGGTTTACATCCCTTAAGAAAGGAAAAAGAACTCCTAATGATTAGAGTTGCTCTTGACACTTGTATCCTTTCGCTTCGAAATATTTTCTTCAATGTGCGGAGGGGAGACTTCCTTTTTCTTCTTATAGCTTGGCCCCTTGTAGGGTCGTATCCTAGGCCATGCTTCAGGGGATTGTTCTTAAATTCTGGGGGCTCCTTTGTTCCTTGGGAGCTTGCACCGAGCCCTTGGCCAGGATGGTAATCATACTTCATCATCATGTGAGCTACCTTCATGTTGCTGGGAAGTCTCTCTACACTGGCGATTTCAAGCGCTTGAAATGATGTTTCAAGGGCCTTTTCAGTCGCATCCACATGGGGTTGGGTAGAAGATCCACTGATCAAGATGTCATCTTCAGCTTGGACCGTGACCAGTTTTTCGTCTACTATAAACTTGACTTTTTGGTGGAGCGTCGAAGGTACTGCCTTAGCATCATGAATCCAAGGCCTGCCGAGGAGACAACTATATGCTAGAGTAATATCCATCACATGGAAATCGACGTTGAAGATAGTAGGACCAATTTGGATTGGTAGATTGATCTCTCCCACTACTTCTCGCTTGGACCCGTTGAAGGCTCGAACGATAGTGCTGCTTGAGCGCATACGGGTTCCTTGAATGGTTATCTTGTCGAGTGTTCACTTGGGCATCACATTCAAGGATGACTCGTTATCCACAAGAACTTTGGCGATGAGATACTCCTTACATTTGATAGAGATATGCAAGGATTTGTTATGGCTTGACCCTTCAGGAGGGAGTTCTTCATCTGTGAAGGTGAGGTGATCGCTGTCCGTGATGTAGCTGACGATCCTCTCGACCTTTTCTTGGGATATTGTATGAGGCACATGTTGTATGATTATGCTATGCAACAAACAAATGCAACAAACAAATGCACAAGCAATTCACTCATCCGCGAACAGTGAGATGACATTTTTATCACGAGGTAGGGGTATCCTACAGAAGAGTGTGTATTTAAGGTAATTCTAAACATCCTCACCAAGGCCAGACCCCCAAGGTGCCCCCATTATAGGGTCCCCACTCTTCCAGCCTTCAGACCATGCATGCCACTAGGGCCTTGTCGGTCTTTAGGCCAAAAGAGGATGGTTATCACCATGAGTGGTGGTTTTCGACCATACCGGTGGGCTCATGGCCCTCACTACGACAAATCGTACAATGCCACCCACTCCCTAAGGTTATCCCACTTGTCCCCTGGGTATAAGGGGAACTGTTGTGTGCAAGGGTTTGTGTACAGTTGTTATTTCAAACAATTGCATAAAGTAAACATACAACAGTTATTAAAGTCAAGCAATAAATCATGTTATAAAAGCAAGAAAGGGTAAAAGCGTAATTTCAAGTCTTTATTTCTTAAACTAGTTCATCACTAAATGGGATCAACTCTCTAGATTTCCCAACGGAGTCGCCATCTGTCGTCGCCGTCAAAAGAGGCGGTCAGAATGACACAATGGTCTTTTGATTCGACTCGCGTTTTAAAAATGTGGTCATCACTCTTAGGATGTTCGATAACCGAACTATTCTAAGGGTGAGGTTTTCATAAGTGGGTTCTAGAGTCGCCACCAATATTTTAACCAAAAAACATTGGAAAATGAAGAAAGAAAGTGATGGTTTTAAGAAAAACCAACTTTGGTCATTACAACCAGAGTTAGGTAAGAGAATTAGTTACATGCGGGGAAGGTATTAGCTTCCCCACGACACCCCTTTTGGGTTCCCTATGATGGACTGCCATTTTTTTAAAAATAAGAACATTAAAATTATGCTTTTACCCTTATTTATTCATTGCAAAATTTAAATAATTGACTATATGGCCCTAATATCTAATACGTAGATAGGGTAATAAAAGAGATAAAATAAAGAGAATAAGGGATGTAAAAACCTTCGAAGCAAGCTTTTATATATTCTTGTAAATGACACTTTTTGGCAAACACACGCTCTATAATGTTGTTCACTCTTCTCCCAAAGGACTCTAGAATGCCTAAAAAGAACCCTAGGACTCTGGAAATGCTTCAGAGATATTCTAGAAGAGTATATGAGGATCAAGTTAGGTAGAGAAGTTGTTGAAAATGAGGAGAAGACCCCCCCCCCATTTATAGAAATTCGTGTCCGTCAGACTGGGAAGGTCGTCTCACCATTCGGGACCATCATCTCGACAACTAGAATCGTCGTCTCGTCAAACGAAACAATGTTCTCACTTTTGACGAATGGCGAGACGGAGGTCTCGCCTTTTCCAAATGGGGAGACGATTGTCTTGTCAAACGAGACAGCGGTCTCGCCTTTGGCAAACAGCAAGACGACGGTCTCGGTCTTCTGTGCAGAATTTTCTTATTTTTGTGTACAAAAATGTCTTCCTATTATAATATAGAGCCTAGTAAACAATCTTAGGGACCTTTAAGGCCTTGTCCATCTTCGAACGGAAGTCTTTTGCTCTTTATTTTAAGGTCGGGAAAGATTTGGGGTCTACAATATGTCTTTCCTCTATATCTTCTGTGACCATTCCAAAAACTGTCTGTGAAGCTTTAGCCCATTTTGGTTGATGTCAGGCCATGTTAGATGAACTAAGTTCTCTTCATAATGGTGGAACTTGGGAATTGGTCTCGTTACTGTCTAGGAAATTTGTTGTTGGTTGCAGGTGGGTGTTTGCTATCAAAGTTGGACCTGATCGTACTATTGATCGCCTCAAAGCTTGTCTTGTGGCCAAAGGTTATACTCAAATTTTTGGGTTGGATTATGGAGATACATTTTCCCTCGTGGCAAAGATGGCATCTATTCGTTTATTTATCGCCATGGTTGCTCTTCAATAATGATCTTTTTATCAACTAGATGTGAAAGTGTTCGTTCTGAATTTCAATTTAGGCTAAAAAAAACTCAATTTGGACAAGTAGAACAAAATTTATGACCACGAAATAAATCTAAGCATAATTGAGTTTTCTAGATTCTGATTAAAAAAGGACAAGAGGTGAATGTAAAAGATCGAAGGAAAGAATCACTCTTCCCAAGGGAGACAACTCACAAAGGATGTGAAAGTCCTTTGATACAGCCAAGAGTTCTTGAATAACTTAAGAACTTAGGAGAATCACTCTCACAAAGATAAAATAGGTCAATTCTAATATTTCGAATAAAACTCAATTTGTATTTTTGATAAAAATGATTCAACTTATATAGAAGCTTTACCATAAAAGTTACAAAGATTCAATAAAGAAAAATAAATGTTAATAATGATCAATTAATCTAGGAATTAAAAACTATTTAATGAAGGCAAATAAATGTTAATAACGATCTATTAACCTATGAATTGAAAACTACTTAATAGAGACAAACAAATGCTAATAATGTTCTATTAACCTAGGAATTGAAAACTACTTAATGACTGATTATGAATCGAAATTGTGACAACCAAAAGTCAATAAGTTATACACCCTCTTAGTCTCCCAAAGATTGATGTCTAAGTTTTCAATTGGGTCCTTATTACAACTTAAAATAAAATAAAACTAAAACATTTTAATTGATTAACCCAAAATATAATTTAGTCAGTTAATTTTACAAAGAATTAAGTTATTATTGAACTTGTATTCAAATAATAGGAACAACATTTATTGAAGAATTTTCTTTATTTTCCTTATTCTAATCATTGTCATATGTTCTCCACATGCTTCAAATGATTGCTCGTAATCATATTGCGTCATCGATTGTATAAAATGAATGGTTCAAATGATTCTAGCACTAAAGCTAGAAAACCGATAGAATACACGTTTAACATCAATGGAAGTCACTGAAAGTGACAAATCTTAAGAAAGAAAAAAACTATGTTCAATTTTATAATCCGCAATAATCAAAAGAATACAATGTTTTAATTTAAAAAATAAATCTTGTAATTTTGGTCTCTCAGTGTCAATCTTTTGTTATTTCCTTTTTGTGTGAGTAATCTAAGCGAAACAAAAATACTTGTAATCATGCAAGTAAATTCAGGATTTGAGTCCATACTTTCATGTTATATGCTCCTTTATTTTATAAAAAAGTAATAAATTATACATTATTAACATGTACAATATGGTATAGTTATTAGGCTTGCCAAATAACTTACTGAGTACTGCAACTGAATGACGTAAGATAGTACATGAAAGTTATCCTCCTCATGGATAAAAAACCCTTATGTGGTAGATATGCAATACTATCAAAATATCTCTGCTATAAATATCAGTTTGCTGGGCTAGGGAGCAGCAAATGTCATAACCACGTAGAATACACACGTTTAACATAAACTAAATGTTTTTAAAATTACAGACAGACCAATCCTAAAGAAAGAAAGATTATTAAAAAATAATCCTTGATATTTGCTCTCTGTCAATCCTAGCTGTCTTGTAAACCAAATCACAATTCATTGAATATAAGAAATCCAAACACAAACACCCATCTAAGAACTTCATCAGTCAGTACTCTAAGCACTATATATACGAGATGGTGTAAGTGATCTCTTATAATTAAAACATATAAATATGTCGCATTGGATCATGGCTTTCCTTGTGTCTCTTCTTTTCTTCATCTTGGGTCCCTCTTCTTCTTCTAGTTCCGGCATGTCAAGTGACCGTTCCATATTGGACATTGACCTAGCAAAGTTTACCACACAGAAACAGGTGTCAGCACTGTTCCAACTATGGAAGAAGGAACATGGACGGGTCTACCACAACCAAGAAGAAGATGCAGAGAGACTTGAGGTTTTCCATAAGAATTTGAACTATATCAGGGACATGAATGCAAACAGAAAATCAACCCATTCCCATCGTTTGGGGTTGAACAAGTTCGCTGACATCACCCCTGAAGAGCTTGGCAAAATGTACTTGCAAGATCCGAAGGATGTGTCAGAGCTGATCAACCTAGCCAACAACAAAATGAAGAAGAAAGAACTCTCTTGTGACTATCCACCTGCATCCTGGGACTGGAGAAAAAAGGGTGTCATCACAGAAGTTAAACACCAAGGGGATTGTGGTATGTGTTTTTAGATTTTAGTAATATAATTAGCAATACTTATTTTTACATTTTTTTATAATTTAAAAAAAATGAAAATAACTTCTATAAAAATTTTAAAAAGTTATATAAGAGAAGTTTTATAAAGTAATCATAAATTTAGTTGACTGCATGGTGGATGGGAAGAAGTGATTCCTGTCAAACTTTCTTTCTTTTTTTTCTTTTGGAAAATGACTAGTGAGTGCGAAACCATATTGACAGGAAGTGGATGGGCATTTTCTGCGACGGGAGCCATAGAAGCAATAAATGCAATAGTTACAGGCAAGCTTGTTAGCGTTTCTGAACAAGAAATCATAGATTGTGCGGATAAAGCCAACGGTTGTAATGGTGGATATCACTTCCATCCGTTCGAATGGGTTACAGAAACTGGAGGGATTGCCACTGAAGTTGATTATCCTTATACAGCAAAAGATGGTACCTGCAAAGGCCGTGAGGTTTGTGAACTCGTTTACTTTTTGTTGACAACTTGGCTAAATTGTGTAAATAAACCAAGGGAAGGCGGTGATATTTTGACATTCATGTTTTCAAAACATCATGTCTCCATAACCAATTAATTACCTTTCATTTCTTTGTTTGTGCATCTTTTCTGGAAGTAGACACCAAACGCGGTTACTATTGAGACTTTTGATGGTCTAGTAATAACACATGATAGTACAGCAGCAGAGACAGAAAAAGCACTATTGTGCGCCACCCTTGAACAACCAATTAGTGTGGCCATGGACGCAAGAGACTTTTTCTTCTACACCGAAGTAAGTAATAACAGTGACATCTTAGTATTACTACTTTTACTGTTATCATTATTAATTTCATTGATTTGTGCAGGGCATATATGATGGAGTAAATTGTTCAAGTCCGTATAGAATAAACCACTTTGTTTTAATTGTGGGTTATGACTCATTGGATGGTGTAGATTACTGAATCGTGAAAAATTCATGGGGAAAAGAGTGGGGAATGGATGGTTACATTTGGATTCAAAGAAATACGGGAAACTTACCGGGAGTATGTGCGATGAACTGGTTTGCTGCTTTCCCAATCAAAGAGAAATCAGCGACACACTCTTCTCTTTGAACCGTGAAGCTGGTATAAACGAGTGCTTGTTTTCTTAGAGACAAGCATCTTATGTTCTGTGTGACCATGAGTCTTCCACATCGTACCTATATATGTGAAAGGAAAAAAATAAAACACACAACTTGTTTTTCATCAAATAATGCTAAAAGTCAAATAGATCATCTCGGACTGTTGAATACATTGTTTGAAGTTATGCAGATTTCAGCCCTTGTTGCTTTCCAACTTCTATGACGTTGTCTAACCTCGTAGCACCATTATGCAACTAAAACTTGGATCCTAAAGATGAACTCAGAGAAACAGTTTTTGTTTTTTATCAGCTTTTATTTATATATATGGCAATGTAGTATTTTAGGCTTACACACAATTACATAAAACTAGATAAGTTGTTATATCTCATTTAATATTTTTTTTAATTTTTCTATTACTACAGTATTCCTTTTATTTAATGTTTTATTATTTAAATTTTTTCTTTGAATATTTTTTCATTAAATTATAAAAATAAAAATTAATTAAATCTTTTAAAAATTATACTTTAAAATATTTTGAAATAAATTTAAACTATATTTTAAATAATAATATAATTTATTATAAATCTAAATAAAATACATATTATATATTTCAATTCTTTTAAAATAAAATAAATATTTTTAAATTAAAAATAATGTCATCGATCTAATAATTAATTATATAAATTTCGATCTAATAATTTATTAAATATGATAAAATAATTTTAAAAATTATATTATTTAATTAACTAAATAAATTATTTTTAATTTTTCTATTCCTACAATATTCTTTTATTTAATGTTTAATTTTTTAAATTTTTTCTTTGAATATTTTTTCATTAAATTAAATAAATAAAAATTAATTAAATTCTTTAAAAATTATGAAAGCAAAGAGGGGAGATTGAAAACAATGAAGGGGAGATTGATGGAAATGTCCCTACATTCCCAAGAGATGATTTTGATGATGATTCAAGTTAACTACATTCAAGTCAACACCATTCAAGATGAATTAAGGACAAACTGAATTTATGACGTTGGTGAAAATGTGAAACATTTCCCTACATGCCCAAAATATGTTTTTGATAAAGATGATGATTCAAGCAAACCCAAAATGATTCCCGAATACTAGATAGAGTCATACAATACTGGATATGGAGGTACAAGTTGATGAAGTAATATAATGCCTAAGTCTTCAAAGCACAAGTGTGATAAAATTCATAACACGATATATTTCTCTGTCATAATTAATTATGATGCATCAGAATTGAAAAAATGATTTTCTCAATCATAATTGATTATACTGGTAATATAATCAATTATGGCAATTCAAATTTAAAACAAAATATATCCATTTTAAAGAATAAATGTTTTTGAATACATCCTGATTTTCTCTATGATATTATTAATGTCCAACGGCCATTTTCTGATGCTATTTTTCTACTTAATTAAGTTTTGATGAAAAATAAAAAAATACAAAATTAAAGAATTCGAAAATACAATTTACATTCAATCAGTTTTGAGAAAAGATTTTTGAGCAAGGCAACAGAGATATTTTACACCTTTTGAGAAAACCCTCTTCTCTATTGTCTTTTGTGCTTTCATTGTTAATCACACTTGTTCTTGGAGATTGGCATTCTACAGGCTTCTACAATTTGTTGTCTCCATTACCTAGGTGTGTCTATTCTTATTTTTATTACCTTCATCCTTTTTGTATTGGTGAAAAGGAGGTATTTTTCATCCCTAGTATGATTCTAAGGAGTTGTTCATCCTTAGTGGGATTCTAAGGAGGTGTTTTTCATCCTTTGATTTGTTCAGAGGAGGTGTTCATCCCTAGTGGGATTCTAGGGAGGTGTTCATCCTTAGTGGGTTTCTAAGGAGGTGATTGTCTTTTTAATTAGTTTACTTTTTATTGGTCTTCTGCTGAGTTGATTGTAATTTGTAAACTGAATTTGATAGATAGTGAATTGGGAGTCACTCTTGTGTTAAGAGTTGACTGGGAACTGGATGTAGGGTTGGCTATACCTGAACTAGTATAAATCTCTGTGTGTTCTTCTCTTTCCCTTATCTCTTTCTCTTTTCTTGATTATATTATCGCTTATGCTTTATCTGTGTTCAAAAAAATTATTGACTCACAAATAAATTTTTAATTTGACATCTATTTTAATTTGTGCATCTATTCACCCCCCCCCTCTATATGTCATTTGTCTAACAAGTGGTATCAGAGCTTGGTTATATAAGATATTTCTAAACGATCTGTCAAGATGTCTATGCAGAATCAGGTTTACAGGGAAGGAGCCTCAATAAACAGACAACCACTATTTGAAGGAGAAGACTATCAGTTTTGGAAAGCGAGAATGGAAATATTTTTACAAACACTAGATTATGGTGTTTGGGATGCTGTACTCAATGGTCCCTACATTCCGATGAGAACAACAGAGTCTGGAGTTGTTCCAAAGACTTTTGACCAATGGACGCCGGATGAAAATACGCGTGCCCATTATGATGTAAGAGCCCGAAATGCGACTATTTCTGCCTTAACTCGTAATGAATTTTTCAGGGTCTCACAACGCAAGACGGCAAAAGAAATATGGGACACTCTTGAAGTAACACATGAAGGAACAAATGAAGTAAAGTGAGCACGTAAGAACACACTCATCCAGGAGTATGAATTATTTCAAATGCAGCAAAATGAAAGCATCACGGATTTTCAGACACGCTTCACACGTATAATAAATCACTTGAAAGCATTAAGAAAAAGTTTTGACAATGAGGAGTTGAGCACAAAGATCTTAAAATCCTTAGATAGGAATTGGCAACCAAAGGTCACTGTTATTACAGAATCAAAGGATCTCACAAAAATGAATATTGCTACTGTATTTGGAAAGCTGCGAGAACATGAGATGGAGCTACAATGGTTAAAGAATGGTGAACAGAATCAAGCTAAGACGATAGCTCTAAAAGTAGAAAAATAATCACAAGACGAAAGAGAAAATGAAGGTAAGTTATCGGATTCCGATATGTCTCTTTTTGTTAAATAATTTTCTCGCTTTATGAAGAACAAGAAAAAGAGACAGCAAAAAAAGGAGAAAACAAATAAATTTCATTGCTATGAATGTGGAAAACCTGGTCATATCAAACCAGATTGTCCAAAACTTAAGAAAGAGAAGAAAGATGTGAAAGAGAAGAAGAAAGAGAAGAATGATACCTATAAGAGCAAACGCAAAGCTTATATTGCTTGGGAGGATAATGATTCTTCCACAACACAAGAGAGTTCTTCTGAAAGCAGTGATGGAGAAAAAGAAACAAATATTTGCTTGATGACAAAAAGTGATGATGAAGCCTCATCACAGGTAAGTAGTACAAATTCCTTAAATGAATATGATGAGTTATTTAAAGAATATCAAGATATGTATGAAGGTTTTACCAAGTTATCTAAAAAATACAATGCACTTAGGCAAAAGTTTAATGCATTAGAAAATATTGTTGGTATTCTTGAAAAAGAAAATGAGTGCTTAAAGAAAGATGTTGAGAAATTTAAAACTTTGTCTAAAAATAAATAAATTGCTAAACCTTGTGAAAATTGTAATCTTTTGGAAAATGAGATTTTCAAGTTAGAGAAAATAATAAGCAAGTTTTCAAAATCTTCTGAAAATCTTGATTCTATATTAGGTTATCAAAGAGGGAATTCTAGCAAAGTTGGACTTGGTTACAAACTCAAAGAAAGTATAGAACCTCATAAAACTATTTTTTGTGAAAGAGTCAAGGAAAACAGATGTGAAACCAGTTTAAAAAACTTTAAGAAACTCATTTAGACCTTTTCAAAGAAAACCAACATGTTTTTATTGCATGAAATTAGGTCATACATCAAATAGATGTTACATAAAACATTTTGGCATATCTAATGACAAATATGAATGGGTGCCTAAAGGAACAAAACATTTATACATGTCTAGATGATAGTTTGAGCATCTAATTTTTTTCTTGTTGTCATAATCAATTATGTTGAAAGTTTGAATTTTGAAAGTTTGAATTTATGAAAATTTGAAATTATTAAAGTTTGAAATTTTGCTGTTTGAGATTCTTGAAATTTGAAATTTTGCAATTTGAGATTTTTGAAATTTGAAATTCTTGCAGTTTGAGATTTTCTTAAAAAATTTGCAGTATGAGATTTTTGAAATTTGAAATTTTGCAATTTGAGATTTTTGAAATTTTGTAGTTTGAGATTTTGAAATTTGAAATTTTTGCAGTTTGAGATTTTTGAAATTGAATTTAAATTGGAATTTGAAATTTGAATTTGAAATTTGGGATTAGAAATTTGAATTTGAAATTTGGAATTTGTTGGAATTTGAATTTGAAATTTGAAATTTGTTGCAATTTGAATTTGAAATTTGAAATCTGGAATATGAGTGCATTTGAATTTGAAAGCTGCCTAAATAAGAAGACTGCAATTGAGGGAAACTACTGCATTTCATTTCATTATCTCTATAATCATTCTATTTCCCTATCTTTCTCTCTCTTCATTTGTCTTCGGTATCCTAGATATTGTCTTCTTAATATGATGTTCTTCTCTATGACACTTTGTAATGCATTATCTTCTCTACCTTGATTTATGTACTAATATGTACAAATTTGTTCTTAGTTTCTATTGCAATATTTTTCATAATTATCAATGAAACATGGAGATATTTTGATGATAATAATATGTGTGAAACAGGGGAAGATTTTTTTTCTCTTATAATATTTTTCATAATTATCAATGAAACAGGGAGATATTTTGATAGTATTAATCTGTGTGAAACAGGGGAGATTTTTTTTCTCTTATAATATTTTTTTATAATTATCAAT